AGGTGAAGCCTGTAAGCAACGACAAGCCAACGCACGAGGTGTCCGAACTGTGGAAATGCCGCTCTTTGTCTAATGTTAAAGGAGCTTTTAACATTTTTGACCAGTGAGTCAAGAGCACTCAGAAAGCATCAGAACCGCAATCCAGTGACTCTGACCAGAGAATCTGGATGCTGTAATTCTGGGTCTGGATCTGTCACTCGCCACATTCATCTAACACTAGATCATTCATCACTCACTCAGTTCCTACTCACTCAATTCATTTAAAGTACCTGGACTTCACCCTCCTCATCTAACCAAACAAGCACCATTGTTCCTGAGCTGATTTCTGCATACATTCCAAAACTGGTGTGGCGCCTCTTATGCACATATGCTGAGTAGCCCTAGTGGTCCCCCCGCAGAAATCCACCCAGGTTCCTGCTACCTGCCTTAGTTTTGTTTAGGAGGTTTATGTTGAGAACATTCATAAAAAAACAAACACTGGCTTCTCCTCTTGAGATCTGACTTCCAGCTCTCTGCACAAGAGGCCCCCTTATGTTATACCAGGTGGCTGGGCTAGGGAGACATAAAGTTGATCGAGACTCTGGACACCCTAACCCTTCACCATTCTGCCTGTACGTTCTCTGCCACGCAGCCTGCTGCTGACTCTATCTGCCTAAATCTTTCTCACCTGACAGTCCTCAGCTCAAAGGAAATTTAACTTCTCCTGAGTGATTTCTTTCTTCCAACCCCACGTTCCCCTCCTCCTCCTTCTCTTTGTGTGACTGGAAATCAAACCCAGGACATGCATATGCTGGGTTAAGTGCTCTATGACTCAACTATATATTTAGTCCCTAAATATCTTATGAATATTCTCAGCTGGATGCATTTTTTTCCCTTCTTTAAAACTCGGAGGCGGACCATCTCGCATTGAAGTTACCATACCCTGACAACATCCTAGCACACACATTTGAACATTTATCTTATTCTCCTACTAAATGTCACATTCCCAGAGGCAGGGGGCATGCTTATTAAGCACATGTCACAAAGGAAATATTTGCTGGCATACTTCATATTATAATCCAGACAGAACTTGGTGTATAAATATTTGTTGAATTGAGTTAAAAGAAAACAAGTTGACTACATGCAACCACATGCTGGTGTCCCAAATAACAAGACTACAACACCATGGCTGCTGCAATAATGAAGAAAAGGACTGAAGAGACTGTGGTCCTCACTCAAGTGGACCTCTATTGTTATGATTTTTTTTTCACCTGAGAAGTCACCTCCACCAAGTTGATATGATGACTCCAGGTACAGGACAGTCAAAATAGAAGCCGGAGCTCAATCCTGCTATACCCAGAGGCAACTGATCTCTGTAGAACTTTATAATGAAACATTGGAATACAAATGTTAACCAAGGCCAGTGACCACTCTATTTAGGTTATGACTGGAGCTGTCACTGAGCCATATTCTCTCTGGGAGAAAATTCCATGCACTCAAGATAAAGTTTCAAGAGACTGTCAAGAAAAAAATTGTTTGGCCAAGGGTCTATGTCTTTTGTCATGTGCTCTCTGTGTTGGTGGTTCTTTACCCAGTTTCAGAACCATTTCAATAGCAAAACTGGTATCAGAAATGCTGATGTTATCTCTCTGTTCTTCCAAAAGTCACGTCCCACTTCTGGACCTCTGCTTCCTCTGGAAGGAGGGAAACTGAAAGCCCCTTAAAGGGGTCTCCCAACGTGATACGCTCAGATCCTACCCAGGGCTGAAGACTGTCCTTTTCTGCTTCTAAAACTGTCTCAGACTCAGTCTCTGTGACTCTCAGCTGAGGCATGCATACCTGTTCTCTGGAATGGGGTGGCTGTAGGGCAATCACGGTTGATCATCAGGAAAAGATCAGAAAGCCCAGAAGTTGCAAGGAAAGAGGGAACTTACCACAGTTCCCTCTTTAGTCTAAATGATCTCTGGTTGCTCTCACTTGAAAGGGCCTATGCTTCATACTGTAGAACCCAAGAGGCTGTGGGGCCCTTCCTGCCAAGCTATAGGAAAGTTGTTGTGGCTGGAACTGTTATGGCACAAAGTACAACTATTCATTGATAATCTGTCTTTAAATGGGTCACTATGGATTACAAATAAGATCAAGTTCATCAGGCAGCCTAGATGTGAATGTTGAAATTTCCACTCTCTATCCTATAGATAATTTCTTTATTTTATTGCCATGATGTTTTGTAGGACACTAATTTCCTGATCAGCAAGTTCAAAATCCTGCTTCACAGGTGGATAAGTGAAATGATAAACCTAGAGTAGTTTATGTGGGACCAGGAACAGAAGCTCAGACCACTCGCTATTGGGGCACCAATGCTAAGATCGAGCACTGCCTGTGCAGTTATGCAATGAAGAATCTCTTCCCATATCCTTGCTGTCAACCTATTAAGTCTTCTTCCTATTAAATTTTAACAAGAGCAGTTTAAGTAGGTTCTAATTTATAACACATTTGAAATAGGCAAAAGGGGGCTAGAGAGACGGCTCAGTGATTAAGAGAAGAAATGGCTGCTGTTGCAGAGGACCCAGGTTCGGTTCCCAGTACCCACGTGGTGGCTAACAACCATCTGTAACTCCAGTTCAAGGGAATCATATGCCCTCTTCTGACTTCCAAGGGCATTGTACTTACATATGTGCACTTACATATGTGCAGGCAATACATTCATACACATAAAATAAAAAGAATAAATAATATATTTTAAAAAATAGGCAAACAGAAAAGTACAGGTACCAGACTGATTAAAAGACAGAAAGTAGAACACCTCATCAAGAAGACATAAAAACTGCAAAGGCATAAAGCTCAGCAGCATTCCATGTAGGGCCAATGGTACACAGCTCCGTATCCCTGAGGGCTCCATTTAAATGTAATATCATGATTTTCTAATTTGTAACAATGTTCTAGATCACCAAGGAAAGCATACTGTGCTTTACTTGAGAAAATGGTGATTTATATAAAGCACTTTTTAAAAGGAAGAATTATACACAAAAGAAAACAGTAATTTTAAGGATTACTGTTAGAAAACCTCCAGCTATCTGGAAAACTCAGCTAAGAACAATACCATGCCAGCTGGGATCTTCACGGAGTGGCCTTCCAACTGTGTGAAAAAAGGCACCTTCTACAGTCAGAGGCTGGTGGGAGTTTGCTGCTATCTGCAGAGAGACAGGACAAATAGCAAAGCCATGAGCTCATCCTCTGTTTACACTTCAATTCCCAACATTCGTGATTAATCATGCCTGTGTTTTGTTGCCAGGGCAAATTGCTTTCCTCTAAAACTCCTTCTTATTTTAAATAAATAAATCATTAGCTTCAAAACAGAAGTGTCAAATGTCAAGATCTTCCTTGCTAAGCTAATGAACAGAACAATGAATTTATTAGAAGCTACTTGATATAGACAGCCTTTGAGAACTTCGCCTGAGTGACTTTGCAAGGCAACAGAAATCATTCTCTATAAGATTATTTCATGTAGCTTGGGTGGAACATCAGTTCAGATATTACAAACAGAAATCCAAAGAGTCAAGTGAGGTGTAAGATGATGGAGTGGGGACGAAGAAGCAGGGCAAACCACATAGTCGAATAGACCAAGCAGCTATCTCCCAGAGCAGACAAGACACATAAAGTCAGCTTTAGGTGACCAGAGGCCTATCTCTGCTCTGTTCTCTGAATTTTCACATGGCTTCTGGCTCTTCCAAATTGGGGGAATTCTTTGACAAGTAGAAGAATTTTGTGTCTGGTTTCAACACACACACACACACACCCACACACACACACAGAGAGAGAGAGAGAGAGAGAGAGAGAGAGAGAGAGAGAGAGAGAGAGAGAGAGAGAGAGAGAGAGAGAGAGAGAGAGAGAGAGAGAGAGAGAGAGAGAGAGAGAGAGAGAGAGAGAGAGAGAGAGAGAGAGAGAGAGAGAGAGAGAGAGAGAGAGAGAGAGAGAGAGAGAGAGAGAGAGAGAGAGAGAGAGAGAGAGAGAGAGAGAGAGAGAGAGAGAGAGAGAGAGAGAGAGAGAGAGAATTTCTGGATGATTCCAATAAATAGTTTCTGTGTTTTTAAAGACTATCTATTAAATATAGTTATCATTACATAAATTCTTGTTAAATAAATTTCAGTATCTTCCAGGCACAACATCAATGGCATTCAAAGTCAACCAAAATCTACTTTACAAATATCCTTCCAAGTACATCTCCTCCCACAGTCTGTGCAGACTCCCTGGCTTCTCACAGTTCTCACAATATACATATATATGTGTGTATATATATATATATACATATATATGTATATGTAGTAGTTTTAGTTCTTGTTAACATATATTTATTGGCTAAATACTATGTGCCAAATTTTATTCCACGTACTGAGGACATGTCTGTTTTTTTCTTTTTAAATCTGTCCAAATTTCCTGTAGCTTATGTTCCACTGGGGATCTTTCACCTCCTGGTGCCTCTCTGAATGCTCTAGCCACACTGTCACAGCTCTGCCTGTGTCTGTCCATCTGAAGGCTGCCGTCCTGTGCAGAGCACTGTGTCTTACTCAGCTTTCATCACCCCATCTCGGGCTTCTCTCAGTGGCAGGCACACATTGGATGCTCCACGAATGAGTTACTCTGTGTAAAGTTTCTTTTCACTGGAAATTTGGTTAAGTTCCTGCTGCATACAGAATCCATCTTTGAGATTATTTAGCTCTTTTTGAATTTTGCATTGGGTTGTTGTCAATGAATAACTCCTCTGGTTGGCAATAGAAATGACAAATATCAAGCCTCTTTTGCTGGAACTAAATAAAATGAATGAATCTGATCAGATGGCCACATTTACATGGACCTGTATACCAAGTCTTCCTTAGATCCAAGAATTTCCAGTCTCTTTTCTTTGTGTTTCCCAGGCTGCTTAGTTTATATGTGGGCAGCCCTGACCTCTGTTCTCCGGAGATCAGGAGAGAAGCTAATGTGGGAAGCTCTTCATCTTATTCCCTTTTACTTTGATCTCAAAGGTAGAAACGGAAGACCAGGTGCTGGCAACCTTCTGTGGCAGAGAAACCACAGATACAGAGCAAACCCCCGGCCAGGAAGTGGTTCTCTCCCCTGGCTCCTTCATGTCCGTCACTTTCCGGTCAGATTTCTCCAATGAGGAGCGATTCACTGGTTTTGACGCCCACTACATGGCTGTGGGTAAGTTGCTTTATCCTCAGGTCTCGCTCTGTCTCTAAAGATGAGGACTGTCATGTGCCCTCTCCTTCACTGGGACACCTGCACACTCACCCCATAGATTCTGCCTCTGAAGGCTACCGTTTGCGCCATCATAGCTACCTAGCTATCTAGCTAGCTATCACCCCTTCAGCCAAATTCTTTCTTTTTTGCTACATTCCAAAGCAACTACAGACATCAGTGTATTTCTTCCTAGTTTAATACCCATTCACAAATTTTTGTTTTACTGTGGAATATACACATAAAAATGCACACATCTTAAGTATGCCTTTGTTGCATTTTGAAAAAAAAAATATATTTCTGTGTGATCCAAACCCTTGACATACACTGAACTTTACCATCTCCCCAGGAAGTTCGTTCATGTTCTTCCCCAGTCAAGCCCTTTGCTCCAAATTCTTACAGGAAACAGTCACTCCGATTTTCTTCTTCCACAGATTAGTTTTGTCTCAAAACTTCATGGAAATGAGCAAACGGAAAATACAGTTTGGGCATGAGGGTTCTCTTACTCACATGATGTTCCTGAGATTCATTTGTATTTTTGCCCATTCCCTGAAAAAAATGATATTCCATTGTATGAAGATAATATGAGTTTTTAATTTATTTTCCCACTGAGGGACATCTGAGCTTTGCTTTTTACTCTCCTTAATAAAGTTTCTTTCAATCTTTTTTGTGGATATATGTTTTCATTTTAATTGGTAAATATCTAGAAACAGAATTACTGGGCTTAGAGTAGCTATGTTTAGTCTTACAAGAAACTGCCAAACCTTTTCAAAACAATAATATCATTTGTATATCAGTGTGTGAGATCTCTGACAGCACCATATCCTCACTATGTTAAATGTTGTCAATTTTTCCCTCCCATTTTAATTGCTCTGGTGAGTATGTATGGTTTAAAATGCATTGCCCTGATGACTAATGATGATGGGTTATCTTTTCATGTACTTGCTGGTCATACAAATGCTTCTTTGGGGGAATGTATATTTAAATGCCTAAGACAGGACTTGATCCATATCAAGGGGAAAGAAAGAAAGAAAGAAAGAAAGAAAGAAAGAAAGAAAGAAAGAGAGAAAGAGAGAGAGGAAGGGAGGGAGGGAGGAAGGAAGGAAGGAAAGAGGAGGGAGGAAGGAAGGAGGGCGGAGGAGGAAGGAAGGAAGGAAAGAGGAGGGAGGAAGGAAGGAGGGCGGAGGAGGAAGGAAGGAAGGAAAGAGGAGGGAGGAAGGAAGGAGGGCGGAGGAGGAAGGAAGGAAGGAAAGAGGAGGGAGGAAGGAAGGAGGGCGGAGGAGGAAGGAAGGAAGGAAGGAAGGAAAGAGGAGGGAGGAAGGGAGGGAGGGAGGGAGGAAGGAAGGAGGGAGGAGGAGGAAGGAAGGAAAAAGGAAAGAAAACAGGCAACATGGCGGTTTAGACGTTATAAGCCCAAGCTCTGGAAGAGCCTACCTGAGTTCTCTGTCTCAGTATCATCACCCATAGGATGAGGGTGGTAACCGCCCTGCTTCCCAAGACTGTGGCCTGACATATAGCAGTTATCCTAACTGTTACAGAACGGCACTTCCACAAGGAGTTAGGTGGCCTACTGTGATCTTGGGCAAGTTACTTAACTTCCCTTTTCTGGTTACTTCAATTGTCAAATGTTGATAATGACTGCCTCCGGGCTAAATGTAAGGATTAAATGAAAGAATGCATGAAGTGCCCGATGGTGAACTTTCCTGGTGTCCTGTAAATGTCGCTGTTGTCTTTGTCATTGTGTGTGACTGACTACATTTCTGCCTGACCTACAGATGTGGACGAGTGCAAGGAGCGGGAGGATGAGGAGCTGTCCTGTGACCACCACTGTCACAACTACATCGGCGGCTACTACTGCTCCTGCCGCTTTGGCTACATCCTGCACACAGACAACAGGACTTGCCGAGGTAGCGCCTAGGGATAATTCTGTGCAGTGTCATGGTCTGCTGCATCTTTCAATGAGTTTAGGGGGACACAGTAGGAGCAATTAAAAATGAAGTCAGGACGGGTAGATGGTTTGGTGGGTAAGTGCTTGCTGCATAAGCTTGTGTTCAGACACCCCAGCACCCAAAAAGCTAGGCTTGGAGGCACATGCCTGTGACCCCAGTCCTGGAGAGAGAAAAGAGGCAGGTCCCGGGGGCTTGATGACCAAGTAGTCTAACAGAAAACCTATGGGCTACAGGTGTGGCGAAAGACCCATCTCTCAGACGGAGAGCCATAGAAAAGACAACTGATACTGACATCTGGTCTTTGCATGCATGTGCACAGGAATGCACACCTGCACACACATACGTGTGCACGCACACACACACACACACACACATACACACACACATACACACACACACCATGCATCAGAGGTACAATGAAGACATCACGTAGATAAGTGATGAGTGTTCACCCTGCTGGGAGCCAAGGATCCATTCTCAGTGGAGCATATGAGAGAAGTTCTGAGGCCTTCATTCCCATGCAGCATGTCTGCTCCACAGGTTTCTATCTACTCTCTTACTGCAAGTAACCAAACTGACCAAGTACTAGGAAATGGGTTTCCCAGTCTTTTCTGAGACATGAATTCACCCAAAGTTCCTTTTTCTCTTTGCTCCAGTAGTCCTCTCAGTCCCTAACAGAGAGTACCTCAGACCAAAGGAGAAGGAGGAGAGAGGCAAAGGTAGAGATGGCAAGGAACTGACCCATCCTCTCCGGCTCTCTGTCTTCTTCCATTGGAATGGCTCCTGATTTGCAGTCTTAGATTGGGAGGTCAGGGCAGGAATGGAAGAAAAGAAGGGTGGCATTTTCCAGGCTAGTAGGGTAACAGCCACGTAAGATGCAATAAATGCTACATTTGCTATGTTTACATAAGGAAGCATGGTCAAACATGAGCTGGCTTGGAGACATGGGTATGTGCTTTCTAGAGATGATGTCCCTTGACAGGAAGAAAGAATGAGCATTGCAGCAGGGAGAACAGCTTCTGCAAATATTCAGAAGTGTGGTGGAACTTGGGGCATTTAGGGAACTGGCATGGATTAGTGTGGCTCAGGGGGAGGAAGTGTGCTCATGAACTCACCTGGAAATTAAATAAGGTTCACTGGAAGACAGTAAGGCAGCAGTTAAGGGTTCCCTTTCTTCTTTCTCCAAAAACTACTGCTTGTCTCCTGAGTAAAGCCTTACACTACTTGTAAACACTCATCAGCATAAAGTAGTGTAAAAGGAGGCACATACATGAATTTTCCTAAAGAGGACTGTATTTTTTTATTTATTTCATTCAGTAAGTATTTTATCAGATGTCTACAGTGTACTAAATACAGTGGGGCTAAGAAAGCTCAGGTAGCATGAAGCTTTTCACTCTGCCCCCAGAAACCTTTTTAAAAAAATACCACAAATATGCTATCCATCTGTTTATGCACTGCATGCCTATCTGCGTACTATGCATAAGAAGATTCCCTTCCGCAAGAGCCAGTTCTAATCTCTTTGGGAATGAGAGTTCTCCATAAGAATGAAAACAGATGGAGATTCAGGGGACCTCAGTCCCAGCCTCATTCTGCAGTGCTTGCTGTGGGGCTTCATATTAGTCATGCTCGCCTTTCTGGCTACTGTTTCCTCATTTGCAAATGTTCAGGTTGAGCAAAGGCTTAGAATGCATAGACATGCCAGGTCTAGGATGGGCCGACCCAAGGGCAAAGGTTCGGCAGCCAAGAAAGGGCTAAGTCATGACCAGGCTCCCAGGATTCTGGGTCGCTGCTGGCAGAAATACAGTACTGAACAAAGCAGAATCCTGTGCTCACAGAACTAAGTTTAATAGGGGTCAAAAAACCAGTAAAGGAACATGTGACATGATGAACGGTGAGGGTGCGTGTGAGGGATTTTTATTAGATGATAACCAAAGAGGCTTTGAGCCGAGACCTAAAAGAAGCTTGGGCAAAGGATAAAGCAGGGCCAAAGAGGTCTAGTCCCCCATTTGAGCTCTTCATCTCAAAACCCTTCCTTCTCAGAATCCCTTTCCTGTCCCACCAGAGGATCCAATGGCAAGAATCATCATTCAGGGTAGACAGCTCTGATGGAGACTTGGAAAGTCTATTGTTGAATCTTGACTGCAGATTTTTAGGCAGGTGACCTTGGATGAATAACTACCCTTCACAGAGTTTCTGTTTCTTAGTAAAGTGGGGATTCCTTCTCTGAGTATCCACTGGGGACACTGGAAAGATTATACAGTGACAGATAAGCAAGGCTATGTTGTGTCTGTGGCAACAGTATGCATTTTCCCTGCTGTGTTTCCAACAGTGGAGTGCAGCGACAACATCTTTACCCAGAGGACAGGCATGATCACCAGTCCTGATTACCCCAACCCTTACCCCAAGAGCTCTGAATGTTCCTACACCATTGAGCTGGAGGAGGGCTTCATGGTCAGCCTCCAGTTTGAGGACATTTTCGACATTGAGGACCATCCTGAGGTGCCCTGTCCCTATGACTACATTAAGGTAAGCCTACAATAAGCACTTGTCCTGAGGATGCTGGAGCATCTTTGCTGAATTGGGAAAATCAATATTCTGAGCTTTTCAGCTTCCCTCAGGGTAAAAGATCAAGCAGCTAACTTCCCAACATATCATTATTTAAGAGAACATCTTAGCTTAGTTGAATCCAGTTTGGGGATCTCTTCTAATTCCAAACTAGTTCCCTGGCCAACAGGGTAATTTGAAGTGGAGAGTCACAAAGTCAAATCAATATTTTGGATAGGTCTCCTGGGCACAGACAACATCATGGAGTGCACCCCATACAGTCATCTCACAAAGCCCTGCACTCAGAAGGGACCCATGATGGCTTTGGCATGCTGCTACTGCCATCTTGAGCTTCCTTATATATTATGAGCAAGGTGCTCACATTTTCAGTTTCTGGACAGCACCATTATGTAGCTGGTCTTGCTTGGGAGAAGAGGCCATGAGAAAGACAACAACAAGGGAAGCGAATGCCCCAGGCCAATATGCGCCATTTGCAATTATGCTAATAGTATAGTTGGTATGCAAAGAGAGCCTGAATTTCAGCCATGACTAGAAATAGTGGGAGAAATAGTTCTTAGATATGTAGGAAATAAAGTCAGCAATTCCCAGAAGTGACCACCTGAAGTATCTAAGTGAAGCTGAATTCTGGGCTCTTATCTGGGAGAAAGGAAAGTACTATGACATGTACAGAGAGGCACTTATTTAAACCATGCAGATGGTGAGCTGTTCAAGAGAACAAAACAGGAAATTAGAATGTAATGAATTCTCAGAGCTAGACAGATGAAGAGGAACCCACAAATGCTGTCAGAAAGAGCCATAAAATATGAAGTCCAAAAGGGAGAGAAGCCTGACCCATACATGAGGGCATATCCTTATTGTTCAGAGGTAAATGACTTCCAACATAATAACTTATCACATATAACAACAACTCTTAGCATGTTATTTGGTAAATCAGAAGTCCTAGTGGGCTCTACTGGGTTCTCTGCACAGGGTTTCATGGGACTGAAATCAAGGTGTTAACTTGATGGAGCTCTCTCCTTGATGATCCAGGGAAGAATCAACCTCTAAGATCGCCTAAGGGTTGGCAGAATTCCATTCCTAGCTTCTGCAGAACTGAAGTTCCAAGTTCTTCCTGATTATCAAGTGGTCTGTCTTGGCATCAGAAGATACTCTCAGTTCTTTCTTTATTGCTCCCTGGAAAGACCTTCTTGTCATGTAATATAACATAGCACAAGGTAATACCAGAGGAGAAGAGCATAGAGATTGTCTTGGAATTCTGATTAGTACACAAAGTGCTCCATGAGCTTGGCAAGGGATCCATACAGAGACACCATACCTTTTGAAGTATCACTTCCCATCAAATATATGATGTTGCTCAGTATTAGACAAGTCACCAAACGGCCAGTGAAGGAGTCCTTCCTTCCATGGAAGGAAGAGGGGTTAAAAGCACAGGAAAGACCCAAGACTGGGAGCTGGGGGATTAGATCAACCTATAGTGCCTGCTTCACTCATTCTAGTCCAAAGCGTTTACCACTGTCCTGTTCATCTACACCCTTCCGCACTGTTGTTTTTGCTTCCGTACTCACCCTACATCATCTGTTTTCCCACAGCGTAGACGGTTGTAACAAACAGATCACATCAAGACTATATATGGAATTAAACTAAATTTCTCAACAAAATGAGTCCCTTGCTGCCTGTGCGGTCTCATGCCGCCCCCTCTGTCCAGCCACATTGGTTTCTTATTCTATTCTTCACACCTGCCAAGATCTTTCCCTTTATCTTTCACATAGCTGTATTCTTTACCTAGAAAATGGTCTTCTGTCCTCCTCAAATGACAGGCTCATCCTACATGTCAGATCTAATGCCACTTCATCAAAAAGCCTCCCTTGATCACCTAAAAATTGTTAGTACAATATTTCTATTACACAAATAATGTCTATAGACTATATGCATTTAGCATCTAAATTATAACTGTACAGAATATATTCCTATTATATAGCCACCTATAATTATTTATTATTTAGTGTTAGTCTGTCTCACAAAAGTGCAAATTCTTTGAGAGCAGGAACCTTATCTGTTTTGTGCATTGGACAACACTCTGCCATCTTTAGCCATAAGATGAATCCACTTTGCCCATCCCCAGGGCCACTGGAAACTGAGATTTGTGATTGGAATTGCAAGGCTGTAAAATGTTTTGGTGATTGGTAAGTCCCATCAAAAACATGAATGAATACAATGGATTCACACTGAGCTTCCAGAAAATTCTAACATGCAATGTAGAGGTGTTACCTGCAGCAGCTCCCACCACTGCTCAGATGTGACTTTTCTGTCTCCATGTTGCTTCTCTTAGATTAAAGCTGGTCCAAAAGTGTGGGGGCCCTTCTGTGGAGAAAAAGCCCCAGAAACCATCAGTACCCAGAGTCACAGTGTCCAGATCCTATTCCGCAGTGACAACTCAGGAGAGAACCGAGGCTGGAGGCTCTCTTACAGGGCTGCAGGTAAGCCCTCCCCTCCAGGTCACACTGAGCCATGGTGCTCAGTGCTCATAGGGAGGGTGGTTGAGGGAGGAGGGATTCAGTCCTGAAACCCCTCTAGGGAGCCAGGAGGGCTCCTATGTGAGTAACTCAGAACCGCCACGGTACATGCTGTCTCCTGAGTGAGATTCCCATCTATAAAATGGGGCAGGAGAAGCACGGGGACTGGACTGCCACTAGAACGGTAGTTCTTAAACTGGCTGCATTCAAGCATCGTGTGGAAAGACCAAAAACAGACATTCCACTTCTATTTCCCCCCACATGGGGATTAATTGGACCTGGAAAGGGCCCTCCCACCCCAGCCTTCTCTAAATCTGGGAATGGAGTTTGAGTGGACCTATAACTCTAAATGTTTCACTATGAGATCTATCACCAGATAGGCCCCTAGCCTGGCACAACCTATGGCCCCCATTCCTACTGTTCCAAGGCAGCCAGTCCTGACCCAAATTCTGAGGGAGTCATTGGACTCAAGAAGTCTGTAATAACTCAAAGCAAATGAGGGTAGGCATATCCGGGAGAGACTAATCCACTTCATAGACCCAGGGGGCCTGGCTCTGCCTGCATTGTCCCATCCAGGGTCCAGCCTGGGGAGAGAAGTGGACAGGAAATTAAAAAGGAAAGTTTGTCCCTGAAAAATTACCAAGGTTAGGCACAGGCATTGAGGATCTTGTCAGGATTAGCCTTTTGAAAAGAGGATTCGGTAGCATACAACTGGAGTCTTACTGCTTTGAGAAAGGGATCTTGGGAAGAAGGGGAAATTGCAGTCACTCAGGGTGGCCTAGTGAGTAAAAATTGCCAGGGCACAAATTTCAATTGAATAAGAAAACAGTTTATTTAACCAGACGTTGGCCGTGTGTACAGGCCTGGGAGGAGGTGAGCTCCTTGTCACTGTAAGGATGCAAGCAGGGACACTGTAAAGAAAGCATGGGAGAGGGGTTGAGTTGATGACATTTATATTCCTCCAAACTCTGAGTGCTAATGAAACTATTTGGCTGGCCCCTTCATTTTACAAATGAGGAAATGGAGGTCCAAGTTGGCAAGTGGCTCAATCCTGGCTTCCACGTCTCCGCTCTAGACCCACAGTCCTGTTGTTCCCACCTCCTTCAGGCCTTCCTTTCTAGGCGCTGACCCTTTACCGTCATTTCCTTGCTTCTCGCCTGCTGCCTTTTCATTTACCTCCCACCAGGAAATGAGTGCCCAAAGCTACAGCCTCCTGTGCATGGGAAAACTGAGCCCTCGCAAGCCACGTACTCCTTCAAAGACCAGCTGCTCATCAGCTGTGACACCGGCTACAAAGTGCTGAAGGTATAGAACCCTGACTGGAAAGACAAGTGAGCAGGCCAGAGCCACTGGTGGCCAGTGCTGCTGAAGCTTGCCATGGCACCTGCACAGTATTTCCTAGCTGCCCTTTGAACCTCCTAAAAGCTCCCAAAATTCAAAAGCTTCTCAAAATGGCACAAAAGTCCTTTGTCAGGGTATGGGTGGCCCCGAGTTTTAAAAAATGTGTCTACACCATAAATGGGGGGTACCCACTTCTCTGTAAATAAAAAAAATGTCCATATGGCTCCATAATCAGGGACAACAACCGTAACAAAGTACAGAGTAGTGGCAGGCACTGGAAAGGGAAATGGAGGTTGTTCAAACGGCAGGTGGGCACTGTATCAACCACCCTCAGAAGCAGTGGTTCTCCTACTAACCTTTCAAAACAACAGTCATAACAAGTCATCTCCCAGCTCTCACTTGGGGAGGCTTGAGGCTGGGACCAGTGCTTGGTATTTTTATGTTCCCCAGGTGAGCCCAGTGTGCAGTCAAGCTAGAGGTCCGCTACTCTGGAGGAATGGCCCTCAGGAAGGGGCTGGACCGGCAGCATCAGCATTACCTGGGAACTTGTTAGAAATGTGAATCCTTGGGTAGGTCAGACCCATTGAACTGGAATTCTGGTGGCAGGGACAAGCAGTCTGTCTCCACGAGCCCTCTAGGTGACGCTGACTGCTTGCTGTAGTTTGAGAACCACTGCTCTGAAAATGGAGTCAAAAACTACCATTTAGAGATCATTGCCCTGGCTTGTGCCCAGAGTACAAACGGGGAGTAGGGAGTCAGAATCTGTCTCTACCTGTGGGCGAACTTGCCTTTGGAGGCTCATGGGGAGGGAATCCCAGTTAAGGACAGCCCGGTTTGGAATTTGAGCTATTTTGATGGGAAACAAGCATTGACCTACTCCCTCCTTCTTCACACTCCCTTCTGGTTTCTTTTCAGGATAATGTGATGATGGATACATTCCAGATTGAGTGTCTGAAGGATGGTACATGGAGTAACAAGATTCCCACTTGTAAAAGTAAGACAGTCAAATGCGTTGGCTTTAATGACATCTCCTCATGGCGGGATTTAACCTGAGACCGTAAAGGGGTGAACACTTGGCCAGAGCTCTCATAGAGAGATGGATAGAAATCAGGAACAACCTGAGAGATAGGCAAGGGGACTATACATGCTCATTTCAGAAGACACAACTTTGCGATCCCTCCCTAGAACAACTTTTGTGGGACCTGGTTTACGAAACACGAATTTCACTCAGTTCTGCTGCAGACAGGGTGCCAAATTTGATAAAGGAGTAGCATTGTCATGAGGTTCCAAAGGAGCTCTGACAGCTGTTAATTCAGGAAATTAGATTGCCAATGGTGCCCAGGACTGAGTGGCTTTGTATGTCTCTACAAGGCAGTCACTCACAGACATTTCTGGGTTAGCTAATGACTTAGGGTTATGTAGGAAGGACTCTTGGGTCAGCCCAGAAGACCTATATATAAAATTAGGGACACTGGCTCTGGGAGTCTGGAGTTCTTGCCTAGTATGCCCCCACCATATTCAGTGACCAGGAACAAAATCCTTCACCTTAACTATAAAATAAAAATGTTGGATTCAGGCGTGGTGGTGCACGCCTTTAATCCCAGCACTTGGGAGGCAGAGGCAGGCAGATCTTTGTGAGTTCGAGGCCAGACTGGTCTAAAATTAATGAGATAGAAACAAAGAAAACAATGCAAAGAATCATTGAATCTAAGAGTTGGTTCTTTAAAAAGTTAAATAAAATAAAAAATAAAAAGGTTGGATTAGCTTTAATTCTAGAACATATGCCAATGTTTCTAGAATAGAATGATCCATATACCATCGATTAAGCTTTGTTTAAAAAAAGAAAAACAGATTTCTAATCACTACCTCCTTTTTTTCCACACCAAATTTCCAATGTGAGACTGAAATTTCAGAAGCTATATATAACAACAAGGTAGTAGTGGCAGAGTCAGGGACAGAAGGACAGGGTCCAGGGATTTGCTTTACAGTGGAGAATGAACAGAAATAAGGCCAGTCTTATTGATGTCCATTTCATGACTGTTCTTGAAACACTGGGCTCTACCCCCTTTCCCTTCCCTAAATAGTTCCCACCCAGCAGACAGTCCCCCCCCACACACACCATAGGGAAACTGGAAGGAGGGTTCCCTTGAGGCAAAGCCCAGGCACTTAAAATCAGAATGGGCTTTTTTCTTTTTCATATGATGATGTGGCTGTGGTCTAGGGCCCTGTGAGGGGGAAAAACAGTCACTTTATAGCTTCAATAATAAGTTCAGTACTTACTGGATGCCGATGCATAGGTCTGTAGGGAATTCAGATAGAAAAGACAAGGTTCAGGCCTGAGGACCTCAGATGCTCCTCCCATAGGTGGTCCAGGGTACAGTGTGTCTGTGCTTTTGAGCCAGGCCTCCTGCAGGGCAAAGTAAGAATCATTTTGAAGAAGGTAAAGGCAGATTTCTGGTGCTTAGCACAGAACCTGGCTCTGGAGTCTGAAAGCTGTGCGTTTAAATGAATACCAAGCTGTCTGTGTGCCTAAGCAATTTACTTACACTCTTAAGGCCTCAGTCTTTTCCCTCAAGATTGTTGTGAGAACTAACTGGGTTACTATACATACTATGTCTGTGGAGAGCCAGAAACAAAAGTGTAATAAAAGTCTAATTATCCCCAACCCATTCCCTCGTGGGAGAAGGTTTGTTATCTCTCAATTTCAGAAAGCAGAAAATGTTACTAATATTTTCCTTGATGAAACACACATTATTGTAATGGTCACATTCCTAGAGTAAGGTGCTATATTAGATAGCACTATTTTTATGTGTTATGTCAGAAAGCAACAAAACACCTTGCCACTTTATACTTAAAATGGGACTGAACTCACAGTAAACTGGATTAGGACTATTAGAGCTCTCATAAAGACACAGTCATCATCTTTGAGCATCTGTGGGTACCTGGCACTCTGCTAGGTCCTAGGGAAAGATACACAGCCAAGACTGGAAAGTTGAGTCCTTGGGGACTGTGGGAGAATTGGGCTGAGAACCAACGCAGCAGAGGGAGGGACCAGAGATGTAGCTGAGGGGCAGTGTGCTTACCTAACAGGCACAAGGCCCTGGATCTGATCCCCAGGCAAGGGAACACAGGCCTGTAATCCCAGCGCCCTGGAGATGGAGGGTGGAGGCAGGAAAATTAAAAATTTAAGTTCGTCCTCAGCTATGTAGTGAATTCAAGGCCCGTCTGGGCTACATGATACCCTGCCCCAAAAAAGAAAGAAATGAAAAAAAAAAAAAAAAGAACCGGAAGTGGGAATTCTGGATTGTTGCCCCCCCTACCTTCACCTTGCTGGGGTGACAGTCTTGCTAGACTCTAAATGCCATCTGTCAAATAAGCATTTGGGCCAGATGAATGGGATGCTCCAGGCAGGGCAAACCGGCTCTTCCTCAGGAGCCGGAAGTACAGCCTCAGACTGATACCAAGTCAGCAGTCTCGAGCTCTCCTCCACGCTGGCTGCATCTAAACTGCACTCTTGGTTCTGGGGCAGTGATTTCTGTATTTCCTGCGTGAACTATTTCCGCTTTGCTTGCTAATTTTTCTCTCTTCCTTGTCCTGCTTTCTCCCTCTTCCTCTCTCTTTTCTTCCTTTTGGTCTCCTGATCCTACTTTGACTTCACCACGGTGACAGAAAGCGAGCTCGATTTGGAGACTGAATTCGAGTCAGAGCAAGTGACAGAGTGAATGGCGGGAATCCCACACAGTGCAGACATTCGAGAATGGACCCCGCGCAAAGATCGGGTCCCAGAGCTACTCCACCCCTCCCTGTCCGCCCACACTCTTTTGCCCCTGTCAGTGTGGATCAGAACCCGACGCCGAGCAAGGCTGCTCAGCAGTAGAAAGCGCTGTCTACCCAAGAGCAAGAATGTGTGATGAGTTACTCATCATTCAAACATTGCTCCAAAGAGCAATGAAAGACCATGAGTGATTTTAAGGGCTCTCTAAGTGGACTGTACTCTTTTCAAAGGAAAAACATGCTTGGTTCTAGAAACACAGATGTAATATACAATCATGTGGCCTAGTGCAACATGGGTCCTGACTTCTGAACCACTCCACACAAAGGTTTAAATGACTTTACGACTTTCAAATTTTTATCTGTTGCTACTGTCTTAACAACCATGAATTGGTAAAACGACACAATGAGCTTTTGAAAATCTGGATATTTTCTCATTCACAAACTTTATCTTGCCCATCCACATTTTTAGGGCTGAAATTCTACCAAGGTTCTTTCTTCTGGGGTTCACAAGTTTTATATTCCTTAAAACTCACTGATTAAAAACTTAAAAGAGATGGGGATCATGTGTAGAGTCAGTGGCCTTCAGCTCAGGGGTCATGACTGTAACCAGGTCATGAACAGTTATAAAGAAAGGCCTGAGCAGGGCAGCACAGAAGGTCTGGACACATATCAAAGGAGCTTTTTTTTTTCAGACTGTGACTGCCTGGTCTGAGATTAGATGGTTACTGGGTAAGGGCAGAGTCCTGCAAGTTGGATGGTGAATAATTTGGAGACTGAGTTCCTGACCTAGGGTAGAGATGCCCCCAACAGAGGAGGTAGAATGGACACTAAAGACATGTCATCTGGGCAAATGTTTGCCAGCCCACAAAGTATTTGCAGTCATTATAGTCAGCTGATGGAGGAAATCACAATTTGAGGAAGATTTGATATGTGCCAAAATGATTGCAATAATAGGTAACATAAGGTACATGCCATCAGAGAAATATGAATAAAGATGTCCAGAAAAAGTAAACTGATCTGTCCAGTTAGAAGGGTCAGAAGGGTCTTCAGGAGAAGCAACATTTGATAGAGTCCTCATGGGGTGGCAGCACGGACACAGAGTGTTCCAGGGAGTGAGGGAGGCACACGCAAGGCCCAGCGGGAGGCAGCAGAGGGGATGTGGCACCAGAAGGGTCTGATGACACTGGAGTGCAGGTAGGTACACTCGGGAAGGAAGAAAATGAGGCTGGCTAGGGGCTGGGGCCTAGTCCTTGAATACAAAAGGCATGCTCAGAACTTAGGTTGGCCAAGAAAGATGTGTTGAAACAAACATAAGTGTCAGCAACAGATCACCAGGTTTGAGGTAGTTTAGAGTGAAGTGAGCTTTCTTAAGCAGCAAAACCAGCTGGGGACACACATTCTGACTGGTTGGTTTTATCAGCCTAAGAGGCCCTTAGGGAAAGTTGCCTCTTTCCAAAGACACATAGCATTTTGCCTGTCAATGTACACTTGGGAAGAAAGTGTGCTCCTTCCATACTTAGTCTAAACAAGCCGACATGACCCTGTTTTCTGTTTGTCACCCACCCCCTCTCTCTGACAGCCCTATCAGTGGGCAGAGTTACTATGTGGAGCAATGTGAGAGTAGTCCCTCAACTTGGAAAGTATCTCCCTGGCAACATCAGCCTAAATATAGGCTCTGAGCCAAACCTGGAATTCCTCCATCAGAAACTGGATAGTTGGGCCACGAGGATACTTTACGTCAAGAAACTACCAGAAAGTTTGGGGAGATGAGAATAGTGTTAATATCTAGATGCCAGGGACTGGAGAGATGACTCAGCAGTTAAGAGCATCAGCTGCTCTTACAGTGGACCCACATTCAGTTCCCAGCACCCACGTGACAGCTAACGACCATATGTAACTCCAGTTCCAGAGGATTTGATGCCCTCTTCTGGCCTCCATGGGTATTGCATGTATGTGGTACACATACACAAGCAGCCAAAACACTCCCACATAAAATAAAAATAAATATTTCTTAAATACCTAGATACAAACCTAGGGCATTTTCTAAGTGGTGGAATATCTACTTTAATTCTCAGCAGGAAAGTAAATTTAAAACTACTTAGAGTTTAATTTTTTTTTGATTTATTTATTTTTATTTTATGTGTATGAGTGTGTTTTGCCTGCATGTGTGTAAGTGTACCACATGCAGTGCCCGTGGAGGCCAGAAGAGGATGTCATACCCCCTAAAACTGGAATTATAAACAGTTGTTAGCCACCATGTGGATTCTGGGAATCAAACTTGGGTCCTCTGAAGAAGCAGTGCTCTTAACTGCTGAGCCATCTCTCCAGCCCTAACTTAGAGTTCTAAACAACAAATATTATCTCTTATTATCCTAATGCTAACCTTCACACATTTATTCACAAACTCAAGGGTGCCTATATAGACACTATTTGGTTGATCAATGCAAATGAAGTGATTTGTTCATAGGAAATTGAAAGCCAGTTACCCCTTTGGGCTCTGCCTTCCTTGTGGATACTTACATGAACTCATCCTTCATCCCTTTCCTCCAACCTGTAAGGCTTTGAAATTAGATATACTTTAAGTTAGCTAACTCAAAAAGTCAGTCAGAAAGATGAAGTTGAAGTCCTAGGATTAAAAATCCAATGTCTGACTAACATTCAGATGTCGATGGCCCCTCTCTGTCTCTTGAGAGGAGTTGATAAAACTGAGGAGGAGATAAAACTTTGGAAATTGTATCAGACCTCTGGAAATATTGATAGCTAACGTCCACATGAGCCAGCTAATATTTACTATACATGCCATTTAACAGGAAAACAGATACTTAGGGATGAACAGTCAGTACAATTTACTAAAAACACATTGAATTAAAGGTCAGATCTCATTCTCACTCTGACAGTAACTCTTTGGATGACTTTAGGCCAGTCGGAGAGTTTCCTTTCTGGGCTTATCTATAACATAAAGAGGAAATTCTAGATGGTCTAACTCAGCTTTCTGTCTAACTGTGAAATTTGATGATTCCTCTGTGATTCTTCAGCTTTGACATAGACCTAAAGTTAAGGTTCCATTAGAAACAACCATCATTCCCAAAAGGAGTCCCTTGAAAAGAAACCAGTAGTGCCTTTGGCCTCTGAAGCAGCCATGAAAAGATGTCCTGACCAGGCTGACTCACGCTGGACTCTGTTCATTCAGCAACTCCCCTAAGATAGAGCTAGACATGCAGGCTCCCCAGAGGTCATCGTGAGACTCAGGCATCTTTGGTCATGTCCAATACTATGATTACAGCCCCAATAGCCAGCTACCATCAAATGGAGAAAATGATCAGGTGCAAACTGAACGTTTGTCTGTCCCTGACTTTCCCTGTGTTCTGTCGACAAAGGAGATGCCTGGATAAAGCAAGCAGGGTGGGGCTGTGTACTCACGTAGAAGCTAGGGTTTTGTTTGTTTGGTTTTGTTATTTTGGTGCCAAGCTACAATGGGAGCACATTTACTGTTCTTATTCATCCTGTGGTCGGAACTGGAAAAATGGAAGATTCTTTGGTTCAGGTCAGCCAGAATTTTCTCATTGAGCCGTGGGCTTCATGCCTGGACAACAGAAGCAAAAAAGGTTGTGAAACAGAGCTAGAAGTCAGAGGAGAGAGACTGACGTCTCCTTGAATCTCAGCAGGTCTACCCTGCCCTGAAGCTGACACCAGGCCAGGTGAACTGACCACGAAATAGGGCTATAACAAGAAGATGCTAAAAGAAGAACCACTGGTGGATCATGTGTGGTGTGCTGCACAGGTCCAGAGGTACCAGTTACACAGACGGTACTATTTCTCTCTGGACTTGTGTGTGCTGTGTAACCTGCACATCTAAGATAGATGCCCTGGTTACCTCCCCACCCAAGAAAGAGCAAAGGGTACTTAAGGGGTCTCACTTCTTCTCTCAGTTGTAGACTGTGGAGTCCCAGCAGGGCTGAAACATGGGCTTGTGACCTTCCCCACAAGAAACAACCTCACCACCTACAAATCTGAGATAAGATACTCTTGCCAGCAGCCCTATTACAAGATGCATCACAATACCACAGGTAAGCCCTTGATACTGAGCCATAGCTCATATTCTCTAGGCCTCGGGTTAAAACATTCTGTAAGGAATGAACATGTACAGAGCCTCACGATGTAAACCATCCTCCCACCATCACATCATCTGACTCTTGGTCTCCACATGCGGGAGTTGATGTGTCCATTTAGAGACACAAAAATCTAAATCAGTCCCAGGACTGAAAACCAGGTGTTTTTCCTTTTAACCTGAAATTCAGCAAAAATTCTACTAATGAGTACAGAACTTGTTGGCGGAGCACATACATGACAAAATTTAGAGCAGAATTGAGACTCTCAAGAAAGCCTGGACCCTCCCAAAATAAATTCCTTCATGTTGTTTGAGGCAGAGTTGAGGTTTCCAAAAAATGGCCAGTGTGGCTGCCTCTGCCGTTCTCTGCTTCCTGTTCTGGCTGACCAGGCCAGAGCCGTTCAGCTGACCTGTAGGAAGGCTTCCTTTTAAGACCTGTTCTGATGTCATGCACAGAGGTCAGGTGGAATGAAAGAATGGGGAGCAGGAAGTTTAACACATCCCCTGACTAAGACCTAAGCACAGCCACCCTGTCTCTGTACAGGTCCTTCTACACTTTCTGACAGAGATTTCTGGCTGTCCGTGGGGTTAGGCAATAGCACATTGGTCAAGGGTAAAGGACCAGCAACAGCCAGTCTAGCAGTCACAACAATATGGGAGAAAGTATATGCCCCACCTTCACCATCGTGGAAACAAAAAGCCACTCCACCCCTGCAGCACATGGGCACCAAGAAAATGCTCTACTTTTCCAAATCTCTCTTTTCAACATGAGAACAGCTATACAGCTCACAGAGCTACTGTGAGGCTCAAACTGGGCAGTGGACACAAATGTGACGTTATTAAAGAGTTTAACGGAGCAGGGAGAGAAAGGTTTGCGTGCTGTACAGAGCTGTGTGAACAAATGTTCTAAAACTAATGAGAAAGAAACATCTGCCAGGGGCTGGGAGCACGGGCAGGGCAGGGCAGGGCAGGGCAGGGCAGAAGTGCTCAGACAGGCAAGGATCAGAATGCACAACCCTTTGGAAACTGTGCTGCAAAGTAGGTCGGTTTTTGTTTCGTTTTGTTGAAGACAGTAATTCTGAGCTGAGCAGGAGCATAGTTAGATTCCTCTTCTGGAAAGCTTCATCATGAAAGACTGCAGAGTCGGTGACGTCAGAGAGACCTCAGGAAGAACTCTGCAGTGATCCAGGTTAAAGCTAGAGTGATTAAGAACCAAAACCGAGTCAAGTGTTCCATGTAACATTGTCTTTCTCCCCTCCCACCCTTCACTCACAAAGGGATATATACATGTTCGGCCCATGGGACCTGGATAAATGAAGGACTGGAGAGAAGTCTGCCCACCTGCCTTCCAGGTACCTCACTTTCCAAATCCTTCTCACAGCCTCCTATCCAAGGCCTGAGGTCCTCGGGTGCTTCAGCTGTTAACGGGAAGTCGAGAGGGGGAGGCTTTGCTTTTTAGGGATGTTATCCAAAGGCCAGCCGTCAGAAAACCGAGCACCCCACCCCCTTCTTCAGCTAACCAGCTTCCAGCCTCATCCCACTTGATAGTCTCGGAATCCCTCCTGTCTCCCTCCTGTCCAGATCCAGTCTTCTACTCAAGGTTTTTCATCCGACACAATGTACATGTGCACCTGCCATTGTGCCAGGGAAATCAGGAAAGTGGACACCGTGTCCTTGAGCACTCACCAGGCTTCAAAAAGGTGACAGCACAACACAAATAACTATAATGTTCTACAGAAATCAAAAAGGAATGTGCACCAATAGTTCTCATTCTCTGTATTTATCTACTGACTCCACTTTAAGACAGAAAGAATTCTGTGGTGACAAAAGGTATCACTCTGTGTTTAGATGCTGGGGAATTTGCTTTGGCGTTGAAGTATGGGTGATTTGCTTTGCACTGACAATGCATCCACATGTAAATCAGCTTAGAAAATTATAGCCCCAAATCATTCACTGTGGGATTAAACACAACCCACAGAAATTAAATTTCTGTGGCGCACACCTTTAATCCCAGCACTCGGGAGGCAGAGGCAGGCGGAGCTCTGTGAGTTCAAAGCCAGCCTGGTCTACATAGTGAGTTTCAGGACAGCTGGGGCTACAGGGAGACCCTGTCTCAAAAAGACCAAAAAAAGAAAAAAATTGTGAAAATCAAGAGTAACAGCATTTACATGATATAGCATTTAAGGCGACACTGGAGAATGTTGGAACATCATGGTCCTCCCTGATTCTATATGCAGAGTTCCATGAACAGCAACTTTGCAGCATGATAAAGCACTAGATGGTCTTTGCATTTTACTGAATAGAAGTGGTGGACAAACCGAGATGTGTATTGTGTAAACGGCACATTTTAGTAACTCTTGGCATTCAGTTAGTAGGCTTTTAAATACTGGGGTCAACGTAAAATGCTAGGCTAAGTTTTCTGACATGGATCCTCATGAAGAACACAGCAGCATTTAAGAATCTGTTCCCAGCCACCACAATGCATCTACATTGCAGTGTGGAGTGCAGTGGGCCCTCTACAAAGAGGCAGTATCTATAGACGTTTGTGCAGGCATGGAGGGGTGACCACCAAGAAGAGACTGAGGAGGTGGGATAAGGAAGATGTCACCCCACCCACTCTAATTCCACCCACCTCAGTTTGGTTTGACCACAGTACAGTCAGGACTCAAGTGGTAGAGGCCCAAAGAGGGGCATGGTAAGCTACTGCAAGCTGGAGGTTCAGTTTTCCATGTTGTTAAAAGAGTATGTGACCAAGGAAATGGGGAGCTGTTCTATCCCAGGATGCCACATTATAAAGTCTGAGCGGGAAACGTGTGCTGGGCTGGGAATTAGGGGCCTCCTCGTCCTGGTGCTGCGGCTTCTCAATTGGGATCTTTGGCAAGTAATTACAATAGCTGGGGCTGGGAGGCCATACCTCAGAAGTGAGTGGGCAAGACCAGGGATGTCCAACATTTTATGGTCTTCAGCCTCTGTCCATACAAAACTGCTTGGATATAGTGAGTCATGAAACACCAGGATTAGGAAAAACCACAGTGCATCATTGGACCAGGCCAGAAATTTCCAAATTCTTTCCTTTTGAAAGACTGAGGTACAAGCCAAAATGGACAAAGCCGTTTCATCTGGTATCACAGTGTCTGCCCCTGTGGGGTAGAGGATTCTGAGCAGATGGTATTTACCACTTCATTTTACAGATGTGAAAACGAAAGATCAAGGTGGTATAGTGATTTTTGCACGGCTACCTCCAGAGTTAGGGGCAGAGCAAAATGAACTGAAGACATGGGTGTTTGCACAGAGGCAGTGCTGAGCTTTCTCTGACTCTGGTCATCACCTTTTTGTTTTAAGGGACCTAGTTGCTTCAGTACTCACTGTTTTCTAGCACTTTAATCTGGCCTCAGCATAGCCAAAGCTTTTTCAAATCAAGAATCTTCCTCACTCCGAGGAAGGACTGGTAGGAGAAGAGCAGCAACCAATACAGTTTATTCCCAATATGGATCCTGGAGGTCATCTCGGCCAAGTGCAGCATTTCACCAGGCACAGTGGTGCACACCTGTGCTCCCACCTACTTTGGAATGTGAAGCAGAAGCAGATGCAGAGGAGAGGGAGGAAGTGTAGAGGAGGGGCAAGGGGGAGGGTTCGATTGGAATGAGCTCTCCCCAAAGGCTTGTTACGTCATTTGACCCCTTGAAAAAACAAAAACACATCGAAAGAAGAAAAACAGTACAATGGACAGATGAAACTGACCGAGAGAGTGCGTTCCATTTTTTTCTCTGAACCTCTCCTTCTCCATGTGTCAATTAGCTATTCTCTCCTGTTCTTCTGGCTCTGACCTTCTACAACCTCAGCCGTGGTACTGGGGACTTGGTTAGAAGAAGGCACCATTCAGTGCTGGCCATGAACTTTGCTGTGACATGGACTGAACCTTCTATGTGTCCCTTATCAGATTAGGGCCTTTGGATGCTAACTGAATTTTAATGCAGAGCCCGTCACAGACCTGCCTGCCTTATGCCACCTTGTTGTCTGCTGTTTGTTATTGGAGACTGGCTCTCAATTTCGAAAGAACAGGCTGCAGAGGGTTAAATGGTCCATTCACATGTGGTTTGGAGTCAATAACGGGATGATCCAGGATCATGGAAGAAGAACATTCAGAAGAACATCCGTAAATCATTAGGTTGTTGAAAGCCTACCCTCCCAAAGTCACAAGAAAATTCCCTTCCCAGAAAGGGACTATACAAGTTTGTTCTTAGCCAGTGGGGGATTGTTATGGAAGACCCTCTGTTCATGAGCCAGAGGGGTTGGCTGCAGGAGCCTGGGGATGCATGTGCATGCTCAGAGTGCAACTCAGAAGAGTGAAGTTTTCACAGACCTTCTTCCTTGCAGGTACTATAGGAGCCCTGGGTGCAATGATGGGTGGTCCTGAGCAGGGCTCATGCATCATTGCTTGTGGATTATGCCACCTTTCCTCTACTCTTTATGCACTGAATCTCAAGGCACAAGCACCACAGAGTCCTTAGACCAGAGAAGCAAACATTTGAAGGCCTATGACTGTGGTTTTCATATGTGATAAAGTGGGGATAGAGATGAGACAGCCATCGAGATACCTGTCTTAGAGTCCAGATAAAGCCCTGCTACCTGACTTGATAGCCGTGCCACCTTGGCCTTGTCTCAGCCTCTAGAGAATTCTAGTCACGTATAAACTGGGAGAACTGGGAGTGAGCATGGCAAATGAAACAATAATCCAAAGAAATTTTCAATTTGGAGCTCACCTTTGAAATGCTAAAATCTAGAAGTAAAAGTACTGTCTCAGAGTCACAGGTAAAAATAGAGATGCCAAGCAAGGCCCCAGTTTCCAAGTAGGACATTCTCACTGTTTCTTAGTAATTGTGCTTCATACTATATAAGTCACATACAGTAAGCAATATTAATGCCCCCATTTTACAGATTGTTGAAACTGAGCTTCAGAGAGGTCATGTAACTTGCTGAAGTTCGTATGGCTCATAAATGAGAATTACAGAGCTGGAAGCTTGACGTCCAACCACTGTGATCCACTAGATGGCCTTTACGGCTGCTTCCATTTCCCTGTGGATATGTAGAAAAAAGTACCCAGCAGCTCTCTGTGCCATGGCATGGGTGACTTCTGAGATGTAAGATATTATCCTGGATGACAAAAAATAGAAGTAGTAATAATGGCCCGGCTAAATATGGCCCTAGCCAAAAGTGGTTTAGCCAGAGGTGGCTCAGATTGGATAAGACCACAGCATGAAATGATCTGGTCCAGAAAGGTGGCAGCTACGGAGAGCCAGATCAGAGATGGACCAGCTCAGAGAGACTTAGATCCAACTGACCCTCAGCTGAGCTCTTCTAAGCTAGCATGACCCAGGCAGGTTAGGGCCCATGGTGGCATAATCCACAATGGAGGAGATGTGAATTTCTTTTGGTGGATCTTTCCTTGTGGTTGACTCTGTTTCTTGTTTCCACTCCCTCCTTACAGTGTGTGGTCAACCCTCCCGCCCCCTGCCAAGCCTGGTGAAGCGAATTATTGGAGGCCGGAACGCTGAAGTTGGGCTCTTCCCATGGCAGGCCCTGATCGTGGTGGAAGACACGTCAAGGGTGCCAAACGACAAGTGGTTTGGGAGCGGGGCCCTTCTCTCTGAATCCTGGATACTCACGGCAGCCCACGTACTGCGCTCCCAGCGCAGAGACAACACAGTCATACCTGTCTCCAAGGAACACGTCACGGTCTACCTAGGTCTGCATGATGTGCGAGACAAATCGGGAGCGGTCAACAGTTCAGCTGCCCGAGTGGTACTCCATCCAGACTTCAACATCCAGAACTACAACCATGACATAGCCCTGGTGCAACTGCAGAGGCCTGTGCCCTTGGGAGCCCAGGTCATGCCTATTTGCCTGCCAAGGCCTGAGCCCGAAGGTCTGGCCCCTCACATGTTAGGCCTGGTGGCTGGCTGGGGTATCTCCAATCCTAACGTGACAGTGGATGAGATCATCAGCAGCGGCACACGAACCCTGTCAGATGTCCTACAGTACGTGAAGCTGCCTGTGGTGCCACATGCCGAGTGCAAAGCCAGCTATGAATCTCGTTCGGGCAACTACAGTGTCACAGAGAACATGTTCTGTGCCGGCTACTACGAGGGTGGCAAGGATACGTGCCTCGGAGACAGTGGTGGGGCTTTTGTCATCTTTGATGAGTTGAGTCAACACTGGGTGGCCCAAGGCCTGGTGTCCTGGGGGGGACCTGAAGAATGTGGCAGCAAGCAAGTATATGGAGTCTACACCAAGGTCTCCAACTATGTGGACTGGGTGTGGGAGGAGATGAACTCCCCAGAAGGTGTGGGGG